TGAAATAAATAATGGTTAGATACAATATTTATTACAAAACAAAACCTTTTTTCTTACTAAGATGAGGAATTTGTTTTAAATTGATAAATGTAATTACACAAGGCATATATGATTGACCTGTTATGTTATATTTAGTCACAATACTGAACAAATTCCAAGTGTAAGGAGCGATGGAATGTCATATGTGAATCTGAAGTGGGTGAAGGGGTGTCTGGGGTGGATGAGGGGGTGTCTGGGGTGGATGAGGGGTATCTGGGTGGATGAGGGGTGTCTGGGGTGGATGGGGGGTGTCTGGGGTGGATAAGGGGTGTCTGGGATGGATGAGGGGGTGTCTGGGGTGGATGAGGGGGTGTCTGGGGTGGATGAGGGGGTGTCTGGGGTGGATGAGAGGGTCTGGGGTGGGTGAGAGGGGCCTGGTGTGGGTGACCGGGGGTGAATAACCACTTAAACAGAAATAATTAATACAATGACAACTGCTATCGCCTATTCATACAAGCTGTGACTTGGCGGAGTGTTGAAGTATAATTTTCATCTGCGTGTTTCCTTCCGTTTCAAACTCTCTCTATATTTTTACATCATTTTGTCATATTCTCCCCATTTCATCCTCTCTCCTTCTCTCAAATTCTCTCTATTCTTTCTCTTTCTTTCTATAATTTTCTCTATAATCAAAATCTTTATCTCACTCCCTATCTCGTTTATGCCTTCCCTCTTTCTCTCATCCTCTTCTTCTTTCTCTATCTCTCTCTCTCTCACTCCGCAAACACACCAACTCTCTCTACTAAACGAAAAAAACACCCAAAAAAAAAACACGCCCTCAACTTCCAGGGCCGCGTTTCTTGACCCTCCCAGATAATCGTTCGCTGCCAAAAAATGTCGTCAGGAGATTGTGTCGCCGCCAAACTATCAACACCTTTAATATTTACGAGCCCAGCCACCTCCTCCATCAACCTGAACCTTTAACTCTGCTTCGATTCTTTCAACAAATGACTCTTCTTCTTTCTTATCTTCTTATTTTCTTTCGTTGTCAATATAGAGAGAGGGAGAGAAAGAGAGATAGAGAAGGAGAGATACTCAGTGCCATCTCGCGTTTGTTTACTTTGCACCCGGGTTTTTTTTTTTTTTACAAGACTTTAGATGTCTGGCTCAACTTCTCCTCCTTCTCCTCTTCTTGTTATTTTGTTTACTCTTTTTTTTTTTACATAATTCTCGTCTAATCTCGACTCTTTGTATGCACCGCGCCTGCAAATATTTTCCCACGTCTTTTCTTTACTTTGCAACTTAAGTCCTGTTCGAGAGTTTTATGGCGACTACTGAGGAGAAAAAATACCCGAATCGTAAAGTTAAACACATTATTGGAACGCCGATCAAGATGGCGGTCCTTTGTTTACAACTGTAGGGGAAACAGGTGTAAAAAAAAATGAATTTGTATAAAATAATTATAAAAATACATGAGGAAATGACTAAGTATATACATAAATATATACATAAATAACGAGTTTAATTATTCTCCTACATCAAAGAATAATTCTCCGTTGTTTAGGAGGCTTCAGAAGAGGACAAAAATGACTTGAAAAAGAGAAGAATGGAATTAAGTCTTAAAAAAAATAATATCTAATCTGGAAAGCACATCTCACTCATGGCTATTTCGTTTCATATTGTCGAGAAAAAAATACTCTTTCTTTCTCTTCATGACAAAGATGTGGGATAAACACAGGGATTGTCTCGTTCTGCTAACATTCACCGGTTTTAAAATCATCATAATAACTTTGTTCCTCTGTCAAACTCTCAGCGAAACGTGAAATTCACTTAGTCAGGAGATGGAAAAAAATAATAAGACCTTAAGCATTGTGTTCGGGTAGTTGTTGTGGTAGTTAGTTGTGGTTATGGTGTAGGGAGATGTGGTGATGGTGTAGGGAGGTGTGGTGATGGTGTAGGCAGTTGTGGTTATGGTGTAGGGAGGTGTGGTGATGGTGTAGGGAGGTGTGGTGATGATTGATAAGGAATTCTACACACACACACACACACACACACACACACACACACACACACACACACACACACACAGATCAAATAACAATGACCCCCAAATGGATAAATAATTAATTACTTAAAGAACATTATTGGACAAAGGAAGGCTATAGGTAGGAGAATCAATCGTGGTGAAGTTTACCTCCGAGATTATTATAAGGTATTGGCCGGTAGGGTTAAGACCGAGATAAGAAAAGCAAAGAGGAATAATGAACTGAAGGTAGCAAGGGAGGCGAAGTCAAACCCCAGGGGATTCTATCAAATGCATCAAACTAAAACACGAGACAAGATTGGACCAATACAGTCAGGTACCGGCGAGCTAACTGATAACGACGGAGAAATGAGCAATAATCTGAAGAGATATTTTTCGACAGTTTTCACCACCGAAAATTTAAACATGATACCCGAGGCACCGACTCTATACAGAGATAGTGAAGAAATAGATTAAGCGAGATAGTAATGACTAGTAACGATGTTAGTAAGCAAATAGACAAACTAAAACCTAATAAGTCACCAGGTCCCTATGAGATATTTGCCAGAGTATAAAGGAATGTAAGGAAGAGCTTAGTATACCCTTAGCAAATTTGTTTAACATATCATTAAAAACGGGTCTAGTACCAGAATCCCGGAGGATAGCGAATGTAATACAGATTTTAAAGAAGGGGCAAGGGAAAGGGGGCCCAATCTAACAAACAGCAGGGTCCCAAAAGAACAACAACAACCACTATAGCCACTCAATCCACAAGAAGAGTCTCCCGGGGTGACTATATCTACACCGGGAAACACACTATGAATAACAAGATACAGTGAGCTGCCTTTGTGAAGTGGTAGTAATGAAATATGAATTTTTTTTATTATTTATTCTTTAACATAATCTGTTCCACCATTTACCTTTAGCCAATATCTATCCATATCTATCTATATCTATCTATCTATCTATCTATCTATCTATCTATCTATCTATCTCGGGCTGAAGAACTTTTTCAATAAACCGTTAATTATTATTATTATTATTTTTATTATTATTATTATTATTATTATTATT